AGGGAAAAAACAAAAACAGAAGCTGTTCACTGCACACAAAGATAACTTATTTTTACAGAAAACATAGGGTTAACAGAGGTGCCTGGTACTTTTTTTTATTCTTTTCCTGCTCTGAAAATAAGATGATTTGCTGAAAGGCAATGGAAAGAAGAGCCATATTTAGCGTTGCTATAAAATTCCTTTGCATTAACTACATTGATGCACAGATTATTCAAAACCCCAAAGCCAAACACAGTGTATAAACTGAGTGCTAATAAAGTTTGATTTATTTACTGAATAAAATTAAGGCTCTATAAACTCATATAGAATGCAGTGAGCTTCATAGTATATATTATCTTTTTAAAAAATCAAAATAGGGATGGCAGAAGGAGGTGCATACACACACACACACAAATCCTTAAGAAATCATTTTACAGAAGCAAAGTGTTCTCATTCGGAAACAAATCTGTTTTATGGTAATGTTCAGGTCCATAATTATATGCATGTGGACAAAACATGCTACATTTTTATGAAGGTGATATGAAGGTTAGAATGAGTCAGTGAAAACCGTCTAAAACATACCCTTATTTCTGATGAGCAAATAAGTCCTTCCCACTTCAGTGTCTACCTTAGGATTTTTGAGATGAAGGCTAATATTTTTGCTCATGGAAAACTTCTTGTTTCAGTTTAACACACAAGTGTTGCTACTTTTGAGCAAACAGAATACTGATATTTAATCCTTTGATGTAGGGGGCTGGAGGTAATGCTGGAAAATGTCATTTAGAATAGAAAAGGAAATATATTGATTTTAAATGTTGATTGTATAGCATTGACAAAACCTGCTGTAAGAGAAGAGCTGTAGAAAGACGATACTGATTTGTGCACCATTCCTTTTTAGAAAAGAGCAAAAAGCAGGAGGTAGAAGGCACAGCATTCTGAAAGCTCATGGCAGATTTTGTAGGTGGGGGCAGATTTTGTAGGTTATAGAGACGCTGCAGTGGAGCAGACTGACTGAATAGATCATGGAATACCTTGGGTTGGATCTGTTCAGCTCTTCTTTAGAAAGTGGTACTTTTTAATAGAAGCATGTGTTATATAAGCTGAAAAGGCATTACTAATTAAATGGAAAGCAAGAAAACACTGACTTTTAGAGTTTTACCTGAGTAAATAAGGACTAAGGATTTGGCTCAATGTTATTTACAGTTAGCATTTAAACAGTGAGCTAGATCTTCAGACAGTAAAAATTGCTCTATTGACTTCAGTGAAGTTGTATACCAGTTTATTCCAGGTGAGAATCTTGCTTTTGTGGAATCTTAAATATTGGTAATGAATATCATATTTCTTTGGTATCTTTACCATTCTGCCTTTAGTCCAGATTTGGATATGGCCTATTAATGTTTATAGGCAGTAGCTAAGGAAAAAAAACCCCAACAGACTGAGCTATGCAGCAAGGGCCTGATCCTTTAAGGTGCTGGACAATTCTTGAGAGAGATTCAGGCCTCATCTTTCCCACTCAAGTCAAAAAGAAACAGAGTGCCTTGCACTATCTGGCCACCAAATGAATAAGGAATCCATTCTTTCATACTCAGAGGGAGCTGCTACGAGGAACTGTCCATCAGTCAATAGCAACATTTTGCTCTGTTGTAATCTGCTTTGAATCTTATGGCCTGAACAGTCAGCTCCTGCTTGTGGATTAATGACGGATGATCAGAAGTTTATAAATCGTACTTAGCATCACTTTGGGAACCAGGCAACTCAATGAAGGAAGAGCAGCAAAAGCAATGATGAAAAATCATATTCATGTAATTGCTCTGTGTTTCAGACTTATATGAGTAATGGCGGGTCTGAGTGGTCTGAACAATTAAACTTCTTACAGCTTTTTAATAAATGTGTCAAAGAATAAAATACAAATGCTCTGATAAGGTAAAAATATTTGCTTGCCTGAGATTTGCCTGCAGAATTTCCTTTCTATTCTAATTACAGGTATTCAACACAGGACTAAAACACAGTAATGTTTCTACAGCATTAGACTGCTTTGTAACATTCTTATGCTGCTGGGAGAGGGTGTTTTATTGCTCTAAATCAAGTCTGGATTTCCAGACGTTTGTATTACCTTTTGTAGGCAAAAATATTGCTTTTGAAGCTAGCAAACTGTAGTTATAAAGAATAAATTCCTGAAAACCCAATCCTAAATCGCATTTGCTTTCAGCTTATGGGTGAATTCCTGTTTCTTGCAAATTTCTGCAGATCATCATTAACCTTGTTGCTGTTATTCACTTCACTGATTTATGTGCTGCAAGAGCCATAAAACTATAGACTTAAGTTTCTTCCACTGTATCATCACCAAGAATGATTTCACAGCTACCCATACACTGCAATAGAATAATTTAGTGCCTTGACATAACTAAACATATATTTGCTACGTAGGCTTAATTTTTCTGAAGTATTTATTTTGCATTTTTCAAAATACTGCATTGTACATTTTTTAACATTTTGGAACGTAACATTCATAGCCACAATAATTTCTTCCATAATTTTAAAGGGCCAGCATTTTAGCTTGTGTAGATTGCCATAGGCCACTGATAATGATTTATGCCAGTGATGGATCTAGTCCAAAACATGCATTATGACTCAAGTGAAAACAAAACTAAAAACCCAACCCACTCAAATCTTTGTCTACTGTAAAGCAGTGTAGGCCCACTGACAAGTTATACAGCAGTCCATAGCTTGATGTACTGCATTACACCACTGGGCTTCCCAATCAGTATTTTGCCTTCAGCAGTGATCAGTACCTGATACTTCAAAGGAAGGAAAACCAAGAATTGTCCAAGAATGCAATGTAGTACACATACAACTAACATTACTTACTAATTTGTAGCAGATATTACTGCCACTGTTTTACACTTGTTTAGCATCTTTTATTGCAAAGCACTTTACAAACATTAATTAACTAAAGCTCAGAGCATCTTAGACAGGTGCTACTGTTCCCACTTTACATAAGGGTGAACTGAAACAGAGTTACTTGCCCAGAATGACATGAAAAAACAAGGAATAGAAGCCAGCAATCATGATTTGTGCTTTCACTCCTACTATACTGCATTGCCCCCTGCTGAATACTGCACATATTACTCTTAGGACATTTGACTGATTTTAGTGGTGTTATCTGTAGCTGATGCCTGACATTTTGAACTGAAATAATGTTCTGGGGGTCTTTTGTGCTGCTGTCACTGTGAAGGGCATTCGGATGCTGTTCATTTTCAAAGAGGCTGGTTTTCAGAAGCTCAGATCAAGTTGCCGCTCCAGTTGAGGTTGA